CCATTCACCTAAGCAAATAATACAAAAGGGAGATGGCTATGTGTTATCCTGGGTCTCACCTTAAATGGGTTGGGAAAGCTAAACAAAGCCTTTAGTGAAATTTCTGGATTAGTTAAGCTTAGCCAGGGTACTATCTTCTAGTCCCCTTGGTTCTTTCTTACAGTACCATCTGCCAGCATGACCCGGCTCGCCCGATCACGAACCCACTCAACCTCGAGTAGCATCGGCTCTGGAGAAAGTGCCTTCAGCCGATCTGTCACCAGCAATCAGTCAGATGGAACTCAAGAATCCTCTGAATCCCCTGATGTTGTGGACAGACACCAGACCATGGAGGTGTCCTGCTAAGCAGATACTCCTCCCCTGGACCATGCAAGTCCACCCTCCTTCAGACAACCACTCCATAATATAACATTTCATCCAGCAAACTGGCATCTATCTTTAACTCCTGCATGGCCAACTGACAGTCTCTGGTATCCTGGATTTATCATTCTCTCTGCCTGCCCGCCCTCCTTTTTGTATGTACCAAGAACCACTTCCTTGCCATCACTGTAACATTCCAGCATCTTTAGCCGATCGAATTTCCATATCTTCTCTTGTCAGCCTTTCCTTGTGCTTTCCCAACTACATATCTGACAAGATTCTTTGATTCTGATGTATGTGTGTGAGCACGCGTGTCTGTGTCTGTGTGTGCATAGTTCTGTGATTTTAGATATGCTTTCTTGTAGAGCTTCTGCAAAAAAAGGGGACCTTTTTTCTTTTTCATTTTCAATGGTGTTTTTAAGGGAAATATACAGAACAGGTTTCTAGGTTGGGCAGGCCACTGCATTCTCTTTTGGTTCCAAATTGGTCAACACGATTTGCAGTGACTTCAGGAGCTCTGAGAAATGTGGAAGATCGTGTTTACATTGACTGTGACCAATAGAAGGGAGCCTGTTAACATAGAGAGGCAGGCAGGGTGGCCAGTCACCTCCTGTCCAAATGCATTCATATATGTTATTCTGTAAATAAAAGGGAGGGACATATTCTTTTAGAAGCCCATGAATGATGAAGTTCTGATGCAACATGGAGTTTTTCCTAAGAAGTGAGTGTGGCATCATTACTGCCCTCTCTTAGCACAGGAAGATGGAAAACAAAATACCAGGCCTCTGCTGTGCCAGAGCAGAGCTGCTGTCGCCACAGTGTCTGATACCACTTACAAGATAGCCCCAAGAAGTGCCTCCTGGGTCTGTGATGAAGAGTGTTTCTCCACCCTTCAGTCCTCTGAAAAAGGAGAGGTGTGGCCTGAAAATTATGCAGATGGTGAGAACCAGCTGGGCGAAGAGGCACAGACCTCAGCGGAATATCATGTGTCTCAGGCACACCCTTGACTTCAGCTGACATAGTGGAAGCGAAGTGAAATTGGTACAGAACCTATTTCTCAGAAAGATTCTTGACAGTTCTTAAAGAAGAGAGGGAAGGGGCCGGTGTGTAAGGGCAGCCTGTGCAGCTACAGTTGTGCTTAGCGGACTGCTGTGCGAGGGGCTGCAGCCAGCCAGAGTATTGCTGGGAGGAGGATGAAACCAGCTGCCACACAGCAAGGGCCCAGCTCTTGAGGGCATCAGATGTAAGCTCAGGGTTACGCAGTTCCGAATCTTAGGAGGGGGCTTTTCAGACATAATGTTTGCTTTCAGCCGAGATAGGGAATGCATCACTCTGCCAGAGTACAACTTTTTACAGATTATTAAATAAAGCTGAATATGTTTCATTGTTAACCCGATTGCTGGTGTTATTTCTCTCAAGCCATGCACTGGGGCTCGGGGTGGAACCAAGTCACTAAACGTGGGCTTTGTGCTGGGCATTTTCACGTCCTTGATCATTATCTCACCCAAGAAGAAATTAAGACTCTGGATAAATAATTTGCCCAAGGTCATACCAGTAAACCCATCTAGGACCCCAAGCTCATCTGACACACCTCTATTGCCCTCAAATCAAAAATTGTGAGAAGCCCGATCACAGGGTTTATGGAGGAGGAAAGCTAAGGTCTCAGAAAGGCATTCCACATTTCACCCTTGCCATCTGTGTGGGGTTGCTGGGTCCCACCCCAGTGTAGTAACCTGCAACCACTTGCCTGGGTTCCTCAAACAGGCCAGACTGTATTTCTCCAGAAACGGCTGTCTTTGTACTCACCAGTGATAGCAGGAGGCTACCACCTTGTGTTAGTTTTGAATGATCCAGGGGCTGCTGCTACCATGTAGTCCATCAAGGTTGCTTTGTCTGTGGGGGATACTTGTAAAATGTCATAGGCCCTGCTCTTTCTGGGAGAGGAGTTGAAGCAAATGCACGAGGACAGATACAGGTCACCAAGCTGAGTTCCTGACAATACAGGATAGCAGTTCTTGAGCTGGAGGAGGTCTGGTGGTCACAGTTGCTCTTAAAACCCCTATCACTCCAGCCTTCATGAATATACCCGACATGGATGGTCACTGGAGTCAGGCCCCAACTGATTACACTTCACTCATCCATACTCTACTTTTCCCTCTCTTCATTTTCATTTCCTTGCTCCCTGTTCAGTCCCGAAACACTTGGGTGCCTGCCTTGTGAGAGTCCAGGAAGTAGCCAGGTAGAGTATACAGGCTCCTCCATATAAATCATCTTACCCAGTTCTCACTGTACCCCTGCAAAGTGGTCAGTGCTTTTTTATTTTTTTTTAAAGATTTATTTATATATTTATTTGACAGACAAATCACAAGTAGGCAGAGGCAGGCAGAGAGAGGGGGGGAAGCAGGCTTCCTGCTGAGCAGAGATCCTGATGCGGGGCTCGATCCCCAGGACCCTGAGATCATGACCTGAGCTGAAGGCAGAGGCTTAACCCACTGAGCCACCCAGGCACCCCTGGTCAGGTCTTTCTTACAGACGAGAAATGGTTAAGGAGAGTTAAGTGTTTTGGTCAAGGTCACCTAGCCTGAAAAATTTCCCAGAAGTGCATTTTCATATTGAGCCTGTTATTGAGCATCTACTGTCGGCCGGGGCCTTTTGCACCTTCCTGTAGGTTTCCTAATCGTGGTTCAGTGAGGTACATGCTAGTACCATTTTATGGATGAGAAACCAGCCTAGAGGTAACTACACATGATCACAAAACTAATAAGCAGCAAATCTAGGTGTTTAAACTAATTCTCAGGGGCTTCTTGGACCTCACCTTGAGGCCAGTCTGAAAGTCTTTCCTGTCAGATAGAAGGTAGACATTGGAGTAGTATGCAGACCAGAGCAGGAGGGTGGGCCTCTGTTCAGGCCCCTACCTGCCATGGGCCACATCCTAGAATGGCCTCACCCATTCTAACATCTTGATTAGAACTTCCTTACACAGGATGTGCCTCCACTCTGGCTTCTCCAGCTCTTCACACCAAGTGCCCATAGACTTAAGTCTCAAACCAGCCTTCCCTAGGAGAAAGGAGAAGAGGAGAACCTGAGCTGGAATGTGCCCTAGCTGGCAGAGCCCCAGTAAAGTCTTCATAGTCTGAGCTGGAGCCATTTTGTGTTAAAAAGCATGTCTCGGGGGGACCTCAGTCTGTTTAGTGTCTGCCTTGGGCTCAGGTCATGATCCCACAGTCCTGGGATGTGGCCCGGAGTCAGGCTCCTTGCTCAGCAGGGGAGTCTGTTTCTCCCTCTGCCCCTCCCTCTGCTTGTGCGCTCTCTCTCTCTCTCTCTCTCTCTCTCTCTCTCTCATTGACTCACTCTCAGATAAAATCTTTAAGGGCACCTGGGTGGCTTAGCGGGTTAGAGCCTCTGCCTTCAGCTCCGGTCATGATCCCAGAGTCCTGGGATCAAGCCCCACATCGGGCTCTCTGCTCAGCAGAGAGCCTGCTCCCCGCCCCTCCCCACCCCCACTCTCTTTCTGACTACTTGTGATCTCTGTCTGGCAAATAAATAAATAAAATCCTTAAATAAATAAATAAATAAATAAATAAATAAAATCTTTAAGAAAAAAAAAATCATGTCTCCAGGAATACTAGCCCCTAATGGAAAGGTAGCAGTATGTGTGGTTAGATTTTATCAGATGGGGATTTTATTTAAATTTTAATGACTGAAGGTAACACACAATCACAGGCAATTCTGTCAGAAATTTCTTTATCCTAGCTGAGTGACACTCAAATATGGGCTATACATCAGAACACCTGGAGTGCTTGTGGAAAGCAATTGCTGGCCCCACCTATGGAGTTTCTGATCTAGTAGATCTGAGATGGGTCTCAAGAATTCGTGTGTCTAACAAACTCTCACATGATGCTGAGGACTGGGACCACACTTGGAGAACCACTATCCAGGTCTTGTTACTCAAAGTGTGGTTCATGGACCAGCTATGTGGGTATTGCCTGGGGGTTTTTAGCAATGCAGAGCCTTCAATCCCACCCCCTAGATCAACCGAACTAGAATCTGCTATTTAACAAGATCCCCAAGGGATACCTGTATACATTAAAGGTTAGGACACATCACTCCAAGGCAGTGCTTCCCCCAAAGCCAGTTGAGGGCATCTCTTGGAGTATATAAAATTCATATTCCTCGGCTTTCCTCTGGTGGCTTGGATTCAGAAGATGGAGGAGGAGCCCAGGAATCTGATACAGACAAGAACTTCAGATGATTATAATGGTCAGGTAAGCATGGGAAACTCCTCATTTACCTCAGTTCTGTGTTCCTCAGGCAGGACGAAGCCACAAAACCAGAGAAAAACCTCTCCCTCTGGGATCATGACAACGCAGCTGCTTCTCCTTTAGAAACAGGAACTTGGGGAAGGTGGCTCCTTGATGGTCTTTGATGCCGTCAGAGGAAATGGGTGGTTATGAGAACCACAGAGCCTGCAGGTGTGAGCTGGGAGCCCCGAGGACGCTATGACAAAGCTGAAAGAGCCCTGGGCCTTCTTCCCTGGCCTGACTGTGCTTGGGAGGGCTGTCCAGTGTTGTGCGGGTCCCTAAGGAGCACCAGTCTCCTGTCTCATCCCAGGTCTACAAACTGCTGACCACAGCAGATGCAGAGCTACCCAAAGGGTTACCAAAAGCATCTCCCTGAAGAGTCTCCCAGGCTGAGAGGATTCTGGGTGTCCTAGGACTAAGGACTTTGGCAGATGTTCCGAAGGGCCCTCAGAAGTCCTAACCTCTCCAACCAAAGCATGCATCTAAGCTGAGCCCCTGCCCCAAGCTTTGATGACAGGAAATCAAGTAAGTACGTTTGCTTTTGTTTTCTGATGGCCCTGGGACTGTGAGGAATGCTAGTCCCCTCAGAGGCTGGGAGTGGGCTTTACAGTGGGGGGAAAAGTTCCAGGAAAATAAGTTCTGTTGACAATGTAAGGGAGGTAGTTTTGAGGGTCCCTGAAGGAACCAGGCTCCAGCATTCCTTCTGCCTTTGACTGTCCCCCACCCCCGCTGCCCCAAGAATTACATTATGCCCTCCAGCTTGTCTTCATGCCCATTCTGGTCCCATCTCGGTCACCAATGTGCTTGTATGATTTTGGGGCCCCCTCTTGGCTACAGCCTCCCAACATCAGTGAATGAAAGAAGTCTGAATTCTAATCTCTGAAGACATTTTCAGATATAGAGTCTACAGTTCCTTGCCAAAGGGTGATATTTCTAAGTTGAGAGAGACAGGTCTCCCTTTAGCTCAATCCAAATTCATCACTTACCCCCACCACTGAGAAATATCTTCAGAAGCACAAAAACACAAAAGACATGGATTTGTAGACCCAGCTCTGCACTAAGCAGCTGTGTGAGAGTGAGCATGAGGGTGCCCTCTCTGAGCCCTGATCACTGTATGTGAATGGGTTTCAAAGCTGCCAGCCTCTCAAAGGGTTAAGTGAAAAGATCAAAAAACAACAGCAGGCAGTGTGCTGGTCTCAGCAGCCTTTACTCTTTCCTTCTACCCACTGGCCCAGGCCCCCAAGAAAGTGCCTGGCACACAGTAAATTGTTCAAGTGCTTGTGCAGTTAATAATTAGATTATTTCTAAAGTTTTGACCGACACCACCTCCCGGGCACATGGACCCCGTGGTCTTTATTTCACCTCCAGGAAGCTGCCTGGCCCTGACCAGGTCAGGTGAAGGGAGCTGGCAGAGCTCAGGGAAGGGGATGTTTCCAGCCTGAGTGTGGTTTTCCTACCTCTCTTGGGTCCATCCCCCAGCTCCATCCACTGTAGGAAGAAGTCTCTGTGTTTAGTGCAGTTGTTGATTGTGGTGACTTTGTCTTGCTGAAGGAGGGGAAAGGAAACTAACCATTACTGAGCACCCACTCTATGTCAGCTCCCCAACTTCTCCCCACAACTCAGTGGAGTTGGTAATATCCCTGATTCAAAGACGAGACAGAGGCTACGTGCTTTGCGTGAGGAGGTCACACAACTGGATCCTGGTTGGTTTGAATTAATCACTCAGACTACCCAGGAGAGCTCTCTCCCTGAGGTTTTCTGGACTCACGTCTGCACAGTTAAGCATAGAGCTTGTATCTGATACCCAAGGGGAAAGGAAAGGCTGGGGAGCAGCAGGAATGTTGAAAACCTGATGTAAAGGGGAGCCATAGCAGTGAGGGCTTTAGAGACCACCTCAGGAAGCAGCACTACTGTCTCGTCCTACTGAGGCTTCAGGATCCCAAAGTCTGAGCAGGAAGTGGCTACCAGGAGCCATTTCCTAAAGATGGGCCTGTTTTCTAGTAAGGAACTTCATCCCCATGAATACAGAACTCTCCATGATAATGACAGAAACCCATCCTTATCCAGGCATGGTGAGGGGTTCAAAGGCAAGGCCAGAACCTGCTATGTCACTGCCATTCTGTGAGCTCCTCCAGGGAACCAAGCTGGGATAACTATTCCTCGCCTCCATGAAAAGGATGATGAGAATGAAAGGATGAAAAGAATGAAAACACTTCCCTGAAACACTTTGATAAAATGTTTGAAAAAATTAGCATTACTCTGGAAATTAAAATTATTCTAAGAATAAGACACCTGTCCAAAGAGCTACTAATCACTGTCCATTTAGTTAGTGTGTTGAATGTCTTTTATGGGCCAGGTGCCTTATGAATTGTTGAGGAAATAGGCAAGCAAAAAGAGGTCTTTGTCCTCATTGAGCTGTGGAATAACGGCAAATTAAACAAGTGAACACTCTAATAAACGAATAATTAAAACTTGGGAAGGGGGGTTCCTAGCTGGCTCAGTCAGTAGAGCATGTGACTCTGGATCTCAGGGTTATGATTTTGAGCCCCATGTCGGGTGTAGACATTACTTAAAAATAAAATCTAAAAACAAAACCAAACTTGGGAAGGAATGCAACAGGTTGCTGAGAAAGAGAAAAATGGGGAAAGTTCCCAGGAGTGGCCTCTGGTGAAGTGACAGAGCGCAATAAAAAATGTGCCCTGACCAAGCTTCTTGCGTGCCTTATCTTTTGGACCCAAATATTGGGTATTGGCATCCCCATTTTTTTCAGACGAGGAAATGGAGGCAAAGAGCAGGGAAATGGCTCAACAGTCAATCCCTCCAAAGACTTGCAAGTCATCCCTGTGGCGTACAGCTTCCCAGTCATCTTACTTTGCCCTGTTGACACCAATAACTGTGTGCTCAGTGTCACCTTAGCTTGTTGTAAGCCGCCTTAGATCCCCCTTGCCTACCTCTAACCTTAGTCATGGGTCCTTTCATTGTCCCCTGCCAATGTGATCCCAGGTCAGGAAATGGTTCTGAGTAGGTCATAGGAATGATGGCTGGGGGATTCAGAGAAATCTTCCCAGAGAAGGGTGGGACCCAGACAGGCCCCCAAGGGAAAGAGCAGTCCAGCCAGTGGCTGGGCCCCCACACAGGTAAAGGCCCATAAACAGAGAACAGAGCATGGCTGGAGTATGGAAAAGTGGGCCCACCAGAGGAAACAGGGTCCAGCTGCAGAGAAGAAATTCTTCAGAGTCTGGTGGAGGGGCTGGAGCCTGGTCCTGCCAGGAGGGGAATCATTTGCTCTTGTCAGCAGGACCGAGCTGGGGAGGGAGAGGGTGTCTGGGGACCAGGGCCTCTGTGTCCATTGCAGCATCTCTTTCAGATTTCTCTCAGCCATGTACTTCCGAGTGTTCTGCTGAGGAACGATGGGAGGTCAACCCAGCAGAGGGAAAACCCTGCCAAGCCCCAGCTCGAGCCCCTCTGTCCAAGAACCGGGCCCTGTGCCCATGCAAGCAGGTAGGCTTCCCGGACACAGTAAGGCCGCACAGCCCCAGACATTACTGCCTCTGTGAGCCTTCCTGACCGGCCACTCCAGCACGGCTTCCAGTGTCAATGAGCACCTGCTGTATACAAGGACCTTCCCTGTGAACCATGCAGGCAGGGTCCCTGCTCTGGGGGAGCTTACATTTCAGCAGTCAGAATGTTGAACAACCAGATAAACTAGAAAATGTGGGAGAGTGACAGGTGTTAACCAGGAGGGTTTCCTTCCTCCTCAGTCAGTTTATTGAGAAATTGAGCTGGCAACTCCAAGACCAACCCCAGTTCTTAGCTCTGCAAAGGTATGCTGTTATAATAGCCTCTGGCTGTCTGTGGCCATTTAAATTCAAAGTAAAATTCATTAAAATGAAATTAAGTTAAATATGTAGCTACTCAGGGGCGCCTGGGTGGCTCAATGGGTTAAAGCCTCTGCCTTCGGCTCAGGTCATGATCCCAGTATCCTGGGATCGAGCCCCGCATCCGGCTCTCTGCTCAGCGGGGAGTCTGCTTCCTCCTCTCTCTCTGCCTACTTGTAATCTCTGTCTGTCAAATAAATAAATAAAATCTTTAAAAAAAAATATGTAGCTACTCAGTCACACCAGCTGCATTTCAAGTGCTCAGTAGCCATATGTGGCTAGTGGCTACCTATTGGACAGCACGGTTACAGAACATTTCCTTCATCACAGAAAGTTCTATAGGATACAGTGTCTTTTTTTTTTTTTTAATTTATTTGACAGAAATCACAAGTAGGCAGAGAGGCAGGCAGAGAGAGAAGGGGAAGTGAAGCAGGCTCCCTGCTGAGCAGATAGCCTGATGCAGGGCTCGACCCCAGGATCCTGAGATCATGACCTGAGCCGAAGGCAAAGGCTTAACCCACTGAGCCACCCAGGCGCCCCCACAGTGTCCCTTCTTATCCTGTGAAATACTGGAAGCAAAATTAGAGCTATGGTAGTTGGAAAAAATCAGGACCTATAATGCCTAAGCTGAACCTACAACTGTGGTTTTCAAGATAGTCCTAACTAAAAATACCAGTTTTTAAGACAATTGGACAATCAAAATATCCTAGAAATTCTATAATTTTTTAAAAGATTTTATTTATTTATTTGACAGATCACAAGTAGGCAGAGAGGCAGGCGGGGGCGGGGGTGGGAAGCAGGCTCCCCACCGAGCAGAGAGTCCGATGCGGGGCTCGATTCCAGGACCCTGAGATCATGACCTGAGCGGAAGGCAGAGGCTTTAACCCACTGAGCCACCCAGGTGCCCCGAATTCGATAATTTTTATATTGAAACTATAGGCCCAATTTGTTTCTTGTTGCCCCAAATTACCCACAAATCTTTTCTCAAATCACATCCTGATTTGGGGTTTTGATGATGTATTCATGGTTCTCCGGCAAAAGAGAACCAGTAGGGTATGTGTACGTGGGTGTGTGTGTGTGTAGACATAGAATTTATTTTAAGAAATTGGTTCATGCAACTGTGGGAGCTAGCAAGGCTAAAATCTGCTGGACAGGCTGGCAGGCCAGAGGCCCAAGGAAGTTAATGCTACAGAATTCCAGAGTCAAGTCTGGAATTCCCTCTTCCTTGGCAGACCTCACTCTTTTTCTCTTAAGATCTTCCACTGACTTGGGGTGCCTGGGTGGCTCAGTGGGTTAAGCCTCTGCCTTTGGCTCAGGCCATGATCTCAGGGTCCTGGGATCAAACCCCGAATCGAGCTCTCTGCTCAGCAGGGAGCCTGTTTTCCCCTCTTTCTCTGCCTGCTTGTGATCTCTGTCTGTCTTTATTTACTTATCAAATAAATAAATAAAATCTTTATATTAAAAAAAAAGATCTTCCACTGACTGGATGAGACCCATCCACATTATGGAAGGTAATTGCCTTATTCAAAGTCCACTGACTTAAATTGTTATCTCATCTTACAAACATCTTAACAGCAACATTTAGACTTCTAGGCTGCTGTTTGACCTAGTATCTGGGTACCATGGGCTAGCCATGTTGATACACAAAATTAACCGTCACAGATTACAAATCACTCTAAACCAAGCAGTACTTTTAGGAGGAAGGACATGGACATACACTTAAGCAGAACCAGGAGACTGTAGAGCCAGATATCTGGATGTCTGTGTTTGGGCAGAAACTATCCCCAGTCTGGAAACTTCCCTGCAATGGCTGGGGCCTCCTCCCCCTCCTCAGCCCTGCCCTAAGATATTCCTCTCTCTAATGCCAGCCTCCCACAGACATTAACACCCTGGGTGCTGTCCTTCTCCTGGTGGGGAGGCAGGTGCCTCCTTTTAGTCTCTCAGTCTGCAGGGAGCCTGGGGCCCACCAGGCCCTACAGGAAGAGACCTGGAAACCACACAGACCTCCCCCTCATTTCCTCTGAATCTAGCACAGGCCGTGGCCCCAAAGCTGCTCTGAGTCATGGCCAGGATGCTGAGGGGGCTGACCCCCAGCAGGTGCTCTGGGGGCTTTCCCTGCCAGTGAGACATGAGGGGAGCTGCATTTCCTTCTCTGACAGGTTTTCAGGGGGGAAGGAAAGGGCTCTCTCTTGGTATGTCAACCCCTGAGCCCAGCAGGAACACAGATTTGGGGCAGCCCCTCCCATGAATCATTCATCCATCAGTCTTACATCCATCTAGAATCTACCAAGTCTCTACCCCACACCGGGCCTTGTGCCAGGACCAGGGGGTATAGCAATGGACAAGATAGGCACAGTCCCTGCCTTCAGGGACAGTCAAGCCCCAAAGACAGGCTCTAAACCCATAATCCATTACAATTGTGTTCAGTTTTGGTGACAGTGCATTTTAAGGGACTCTGATTAAGAGTGTGTGCTGAGAGACTCATCAGGAAGGCTTCACCAAGGAAGGGACATTTTATCCAGGGTGTGAAAGATGAAGGTGAGTCAGCCAGGCAGATGGGTCCATCAGGGACAGCATGCGCAGGCCAGGGGCAGCCCAGGAGAAGAGGTTGGGTCCTTCCAGGCCACTCGGCTTCACCGTTGTTGAAGGAGGCTCTCCACAAGACTTGCTTGCATTGTTATGCAGGCATCAGGCATTTTCTGGCCCTGTGGGATGGCCCTGTGCAGCACACAGCTCTGAGAAGCTCCAGTCCAGAGTCACCACATAGATCTGCACATGTGTCTGGGAGGACACATAGGAACCAGTCCCTTTCCAGGATCACAGTCTCATTCTTCCCGTGTCCACCTGGAGTACAGGCCCTTATACCACACAGTTCCAGCTCCAGGTCTGCCCCACTGATGCCCCCCATCCCCTCGGTCCTTGTCTGTCCATCTGTTCTCCTTCCCCATCTCCTGGGGCATCTGTCTAGAGGGTATCACAGAGCCCTCTGAGGCCTTGGCTCCTTCAGGAGCATCTATGAGATAAACAGATAAACTTTTCATGTTGACCTTGACTGTTTTTCATAGCTTGATGCATTGATGTGCTGACAAGTGTGTCTCTCTTTTCCCTTTGTTTCAGAGGCCCCTACTGAAATGGGATAAAGAGGAAGGAGAGGGAGGGATGTGGGTGAAGTGAATCTCAGCAGCCTGTGGAGGCTGGGTTTTCCAGGATGAGAAGGCCTGGACAGGCATCAGGACGTCTCGTTAGACTAGGTGGGCTGATCCCTGAGGTAGATGAGGGCATGAGCATCCTGTGCTGAGGGAGTCACTTGCCACCTACCATCCAACCTCAAAACTGTCCTCTTGGCCACCATGTCCTTGGGACCAGTCCTGGCGTGATGGTGTGGTGTAGTGGGGAAGCTTGGCATCCTCTAGCTCTATGAATCCCTCTCTGAATGTCAGCATCCCAGGGAGTCTGGGCCTTTTTCGGAGAGGTGCTACCACTGTCTTGTCAAGTACCCCCAACCTGGGCCCATGAGTAGCCACAATGGTCACCCACCCCAACAGCGCCCCATGGGCAGAGGAATAAGGAATGGCATAGGAGCCACTCCTGGCACAGTGCCCTGTCCCACCTCAGTTGCCTCGCTGTGTGATGTGGTGACCAGAGAGGACTACCTCAGGAGCTTGAGAGGACTGGAGTGATGTACTCAGTCAGATCCTGACATAGCAGCTGCTCAGTAAAGGATGGCAGGCATGAGGCCAGGACACTTGACTGGGCTGCACATACCTCTTGGGTGTCTACTCTGGGCCAGGCCTGGCAAAGTGGGTCCCTGGCACCCCACCTCTTCTTGGGGCAGCACGGACCTTCACTGGTCATTCTGGACAAACGCCATGGGAGAGACATGCATGGCACTCTAGAGTTACAAAGCCTGTCCACATCTGTGATTTCACTGGCCCTTCCAGCAGCCCTCTTCCTCCCATGCTTACCCTGGACCTCAGCCCCAAATGTTAGTCCATTCAGTGCTCACATCATTAGAACTTCCAGAAACCACCTTCTAGAAACTGAGCTCCGAGATCTGTGCTGATACCTGCTTAGAGCTATAGTTTTTGTAGTTTGCTGAGCAGCAGAATCCTTTTATCAAGGCCTTCTTGAACATCTCCATATAAAAAGCAATTGTAGCCAGGAACCCCACTCCTCTTGCCACACCAATCCTTTCCCTGAGTGACCCCAAAAGATGTCTGGGCATCTGTAGGGCTCTTCAGAGGCCACTGGAAAATCTTCAAATACCAGGGTAGTCCTCCTCGGATCCCAGCAGACCTGCTCCCCAGGGTGTTCATGGTTGGGTTGGTTGATGGTGGAAAGCCCAGACTCCAGTAGACTTCACATGGAGAGGGGACTGGTCAAGAAAATGACCACCTCTGTCCCTCCATCCAGAGAGAAGCAGGGCCACAGCTGTGGCCCTGGGCACCTTCCCGGTAGGCGAGCACACGGAGCTGTCACTGAGCCTGGGGGATCCACTGACCATCATCTCTGAGTAAGTCCTGTCCCAGTGGGGGAAGGGTGGGGCGCTCTGCTTCCTTCCCCTGGCACCTGAAGATGCCCTCACGGGAGACGGGGCCCCTCCCTCCAGGAGAAAAGAGCATGGCCTTTGGCACTGAGCTCACACTTGGCCCTAATGGCGGGATCTAGGAAGCCTGACACACCTGTAGGGGGGAGCTGTGGGTGGTGGGCAGGGCCTTGCAGGGGGCACCCGGAATCCTGCTGTTTCCTGCCCAGGAGGTAGCAGCACTGGCCTGTGCAAGGAGACCTGGGAAACATAGGTGGGACAGACGGCCAGCTGCAGGAGCCAGCCTGGCAGGTCCTCAGGAATCCTAAATGAGCAGTTCCCCTCTCTATTCTCTCTCCAGAGATGGAGACTGGTGGACGGTGGTATCAGACGCTTCAGGCACAGAATACAGCATTCCCAACAGTCTCGTGGCCAAAATCTCCCACAGGTGAGTTCACACCCCACGCCCTGCCTTAGCGGAACTTCCTACTTTCTCTTCCCACAAGTGTGGTTCTTTATGGCCAGTCCTGCACTGAGCAAAACTGGGGATGGGAGAATCAGGCCCAGGCCCTGCCCTCAAGAAGAGCCTGCAAGACTCGGGACCCCGGAGGAGGGGCCTCAGGAAGGCCCCATAGAGACGTCCTCTGGGCTTTGGAGGGTGGCTGGGAGTTCATTGGGGGAGAATTCTGAAAGGGAGCTTCTGCATATGTGTCCTAAATGTCCTGAGGCAAGAAAATGAAGGGGTGGCGCCTCGTATCTTGGCAAGTCTGCCTTTCTAAGAGGGGCCTCACCGGAGGCAGGACATGGGGGATGCCATCGCTTGCCACCAGTGAGTGACAAAAGAAACCAACTTCAGAGCAAATTCTATGTCACGAGAGAGAAAGGAAGGGGCCTGTCTTTTAGTGGGATCAACCTGCATAACACGGAGTCAGGCGGGTACTCTGTATGTGCTGTGATGGCCTCTCTTCTGTTCTGAGAGAAAGTACTGCTGTGGCACTGGATGGCCTTCCTTTTCTGAGGCTTGCCAGATGTCTGGCTCTGATGAAAGTAGCGCAGGCCTCCCAAGACATGTGGACACCTCACAGAATCCACTCACGTGGAGGTCATTGGCCCCCGTGTGATTCCTGCTCGCCTGGCCCCACTGGTCAGAGCTTTTGCATCCTCAGTGCGGCACTAAAGTTGCAGCCAAGGAGACACTGGCCACCTCCAAAATCCCCTTCCCTTGCCACTCCGTCTGTTTCCTCCGTGTTTGTAAGTCCTATGAATGACTTGTTTTATTTACTATAAAACTAGGCTAAGTTTGCTGCTGGCACCAAATGGGTCACAGCTTCTCTGGTTTATCTCCTTGGAATGAACTCAACCCTGACTCTAGCTTTGACTGTGGAATTTCACAGGATGACAGGGAGACAGCCATTTCCATAGAGTTGGCTTCTCTAGGTTTTCCTGGGGACTACAGGACATGACTCTGGGGACATTAGAAGGCTGTTGGACTAGTAAGTAAAAAATTCCTGTAAAACCACCCTGAACTTTCCATTGCAGTCAAGTCCTTCATGGACATATAGGTAGAGGAATAAGTGAAAGGACAAAAGAAAATAGGGGGCCAGAGGACTCAACAATCCAGCAGTAAAAGAGGCCCTGAGGAGTAGGTCACGAAGGTCTGTGCTTTGGGAGGCACATATGGTGATCGATATGTTGCATGATTTTTTCCAAGACTTTAGATGGTCTTGAGCATTCTAGTTCCAACATTTCTACCCACAAAAAAGCTCCAGTGGGAGTTACATTTCATTGGTAATGAATGAATACATGTTCACCCGCATGCCTTCTGGCTGCAAAGTTAAATTTTAAAATGTTCAAAGAAAATATTTACTAAAATTAAACACATACACATAGGCAATTCTTGGAAAGGAGAGTTGGCTAGCATAGGGGTAGTAGAGGAGCTGGGCAGTGATAGGAGTCTGCGATCATCCCACCTTCTCCCGCCCTCCTGACCACTTGGGAATGAGGTCTCCAGGCAGAAAAGGCCGGGGCTCACCCCATGAGTTTGTCCTCTGCAGCCTCTGGAGCCGGGACCAACACAAAGCTGGGGGGCCCTTAGAGACCAAAGTACAAGTGGAATTCTGAGGCCCAGAGAGGGAAGAGGGGTTTGAGCAGAGTCTTGGCCCACCCACGCCCAAGCTGACCTCTCTCTGTCCCTCCTGCAGGTGGCTGTATGAGGGCCTGAGCCGGGAGAAAGCTGAGGAACTGCTGTTGCTGCCTGGAAACTCTGGAGGCGCCTTCCTCATCCGGGAGAGCCAGACCAGGAGAGGTGGGTAAGCTCAGCCCTGGCTTGTCCTTGAATGCCAAGAGATAGCTTGGTGGTATAGGCAGGAGGTCAAACATGAAGGGCTGGAGTACCTGGTCTTGGAGTCAGGCAGTTTCGTTGACCACCATGATGCTGCCACGAAAGCCCATTTCTTAAAAGTGGGTGTGAATGGTCCACCGTGGGGATCCAGGCTCAGCCTACACTTTAGTAACTGGGTCTTGTAATAGAATATGGTCACAGGATTTCCCTGCCCTGACCAGCAATGATTCCTCCCTCCCCAAAACACAACTTGGCAAAAAGTTGTCAAGTTCACGAGGTCTCTATGCCCTCCCTGGGTCACCAGCCAGAAAACTCAGTCAGCTCTTGATCTTTCTACTGTATAGATGGGTAAGATGGGGAAACAAAGGCCTGAAGAGGGGTAGGGACATGTCACATTGCACATTCCTATGTGCCTTCTCCCACTTCGGGTACAGGACTTTCGCAAACCAAACACAAAGCTAATAGAGTCTGTCTCTGATGCCCCTGCCTCCCTCTGAGCTGCTGCCCTGAGACCCTTACGGTGGGACAGAGAAGGACGTTACACAAGTGGTGATGCTGATTTTTATGGTGGGCCCTTTAAGTGTCTTCAAACAACCCTGTGAGGATTGTAGTTCCACTGTCCCCATTTTACAGATGAGGAAACTGAGGCTTAGGGAGGAGAAATTATTTGCCAGGGTAAATACAGCAATGAAGCTGGGATTCAAACCCAGCTGGGGTCCTCTTCACTTCCGATACCCAAGAAAGGCCCACATATCACAATAATGGTGGAATTGCAAACTCAGTGGTAGACTAGCTGGGAGATACTCAGGAATGAGGACAGGTCTTTTGTGCTTGCCCGAATTGAACCAACCATGGTGGGTTGTCAGGGTCCTTTGCTCTCGGTCTCCCTCCCGGGGCCCCCTCCAGCACATCTTTGCCTCTCCTCCTCTTCTTTCAGAAGCTCGCTGGGTTGACCTCTCCCCAGCCTCTCCTGCTACTTTACAGACAGCATTACCTTCCCCCCTACACCCAAAGGCTGGCTGGGCCTGGGGGCTGGCCTGAGTGCAGGCTACAAACAGGAAACCGCAGCAGTGGAGCTGACTGGGGCAGGGGTGCTGCAAACCAGGCCCCAGGGAGCTTGAGAAGCCACAGGAAGTGCTCTGTGCTCAACTGCCCCATACCCCCTCTTCTTTGGTCTCGTTCAGCCACAACCACATAGTGACCAAAACTTACTGCCCCTTCCTAAGAAGGCGCATATACAAGAGGAGCTGGCTGGGAAATAAAGGAGAAAGCAGAAAACGATCTTTAAATATCCATAAACAGGGGCACATGGGTGGCTCAGTCGGTTAAGCATCTGCCTTCAGCTCAGGTCATGATCCCAAAGCCCAGCACTGGGCTCCCTGATCAGCTGTGAGTCTGTTTCTCCCTCTTCCTCTGCCCCTCCACCTGCTTGTGCTCACACATGTGCATGTGCGCTCTCTCTCTCTGTCAAAGAAATAAGTAAAAGCTTTTTTATCTTTTTTTTTAAGATTTTATTTATTTATTTATCAGAGTGAGCACAGGCAGAGTGGCAGGCAGAGACAGACGGAGAAGCAGGCTCCCGCTGAGCGGGAAGCCCGATGTGGGACTCTATCCCAGGATGCTGGGATCATGACCTGAGCCGAAGGCAGAGGCTTAACCAACTGAGCCACCCAGGCGTCCCAGCTTTTTCACTTTCTTAAAGATTTTATGTATTTATTTGACAGAGACACAGCAAGAGAGAGAACACAAGCAGGAGGAGGGGGAGAGGGAGAAGCAGGCTCCCCACCGGACAGGGAGCCCGATGCGGGGCTTGATCCCAGGACCCTGGGATCATGACCTGAGACAAAGACAGATGCTTAATGACTGAGCCACACAACACCCCACAAATAAGTAAAATCTTTTTTAAAAAATTAAAGATCCATAAACATACACATGATTGCTGGGATTAAGAATAGATTTGACTCTGAGCTTCCCCATAGCCAACCCCAAAAGGGGGTCGATCAGAATGCAGCTCTCATTATCACAAAAGGAAGAGATTTGTCAGTTCTGCAGGAAAGGAAATAGCTTCCCCAGTACTAACTTCTAATCTCTCATCTGAGTCTTCTTTTAGGACAGTATTTGTCAAGCTGCAGGTTAAAACCCGCATCAGTTTGGTTCAGTGGTTATAGAGCAGTGGGTCTCAAATCCGGGTGGCCATCAGAATCACCCAGAGGGCTTAAAACAAAGAACTGGCCACACACCCAGATTTCTTATTTGGTGGGTCTTGGGCAGGGCCTGAGAATTTACGTTTCAAACAAGTTTGCAGCTTATGCTGCTGCTGCCGTGGGGACCACACTTTAAGAACCACTGATCTGGGGGCATCTGGGTGGCTCAGTTGGTAGAGCATGTGACTCCTGATTTTGTGGTTGTGAGTTTGAGTGCCATGTTGGGCAGAGATTACTTTAAAAAAAAAAAATGCCCATCTAGACCTTGGCTTCAAGTTGGAATCATCTGGGGAGCTTTATAAATTACTAATGCCTGCACCCAACTCCCAGAGTTTCTGGGGCTTGAACCCACAATCCTCATGGGGCTCTAATCCACAACCCAGATCAAGATCAAGACCTGAGCCAAGACCAAGAGTCAGATGCTTGGGCCGCGTGGGTGGCTTATTCGGTTGGGCATCTGCCTTTGGTTCAGGTCATGGTCCCGGGGTCCTGGGATACAGTCCCGCATCATTCTCCTTGTTCAGCAGGGAGTTCCTTGTTCAGCTTCTCCCTCTCCCCTTCCCCTGCTTGTACTCTCTCTGTCAAATGAATAAATAAAATCTTTAAAAAAAAAAATAAGAGTCAGATACTTAACTGACTGAGCCACCCAGGCACCCCTGAGTTTCCGATTTAATTGGTCAGGGCTGTGAGCTTGGCCCTAGAAGATATAAAAGTTCCCTTGGTGATTCTGATATGCAGCCAGGGTTGCGACCCCTTCATTTAGTGGATCTGGACCAGGGAGCGTTTGAAGCGCAGAACATTCCAGGTGCATTACTGGGGTTGGGAAGAATATTGTTTCATCCTATTTTTGTTTTAGGTAATTTTTAAAAGATTGTATTTATTTTAACAATGAGGTTTTGTGTTTTTTTTTTTAAGATTTTGTGTATTTTAGAGAAAGAGCATGAGCAGGGGGAGGTGCAGAGGGGGAGGGAAAGAATCTCAAGCAAAGCACAACAAGCGGTTCAATCTCACAACCCTGAGATCATGACCTGAACAGAAACCAAGAGTCAGATGCTTAACTGACTGAGCCACCCAGGTGCCCCTAATTATTTTTAAAGATTATTTATTTTACAGATCGAGTGAGAGTGTGTACCAGAGTGGGGAGGGGCAGAGGGAGAGAGAGAATCCTCAGACTTCCCACTCAGCACAGAGTCCAACGCAGGTCTTGATCCACGACGCTGAGATCATGACCTGAGCCAAAATCAAGAGTGGGGCACTTAACTGACTGAATCAGCCGGGTGCACATGACTTAGGTAATTTTAAGTGTGTCCTAGGTCGCAGTGTAAAATTTCATACTGTGGTTTGTAGCCAAAAAAAGTTTGGTGGCGCCTGGGTGGCTTAGTTTGTTAGGCATCTGACTCTTGATCTCAGCTCGGGTCTTGATCTCAGGGTCATGAGTTCAAGCCTAGTGTTGGACTCCATGCTGGTTGTGGAACCTACATTAAAAAAAAAAAAAAAAATGTTTGGCACTGCAGCTCTATGGGACCTGGGTAACATCATAGAACACTAGTTCTCAAACTAGTTCTCAGACTCAGAATTGTCAGGGAAAGATTCTTGGGTCCCTTCAAATATGACTATTTACTGGGCTCAGAGGTCAGAAATCTGCTTCCTTCACAAGGTCTCTGGATGGTTCTTATGTTCTTTTATGTTTGAAAACACAGTTCCATTCTAGGGAAACCAGAATTAAGTAGTAAGAGACAATTTTTTTTTTACAGTTACATAATGCACCTTGTTATATGTAATACTAATTAATTAGTGATTGAGTGAATGGTATCAGAATCACCTTTTCTTTTCACCGATGTCCAAATATACCTCTGGGAAGGGAATTCTGCTGGGGAGTTTGAGTCTGTGTGTAGACTGAGGAGGAAGGCCTGGGGCCTGTGAGCTCCCAAGAACCCTACTCAGAGTTGCCAGGGAGGGGAAGACCTCTCTATCTTCCCTAGGGTCCCTCTGGCATACCTATTTATGTCCTAAACCTGGGGGAAGTCATGGCAGAGTCTGTATCAGACCCCAAACCTTGGTCTGTGAAGGGACACTGACGACTTTGTGGAGGTCATAGAATTGCTCCAAAGGTCAGCAGCAAGGCCAAGTCCTCCACAGCATTACCCCCTCACCTCCCCGCTGTCCTACTGCGTCTCTCTTCTTTGGTGGGTGCTTTAAGGAAAACTGATGATCAAGCCATGCTTCCCACCATGGGGGGGGGTTCACTTCTGTCCATTCTGTCATCTTGGAAGCACTTGTTGAGCATTTCTTCTGAGTCAGGCCTGCTAAGTCATGGCTCTTGTCCTCAGGACGCAGACAGTGGAAGGTCCAAGGCTATCAGCTTCTCAGAGGCCTTAGCAGAGGAAGGTCAGGAGGGTCCTGCTAGGCCCATCTCCCACATACAGCTTCTAATCCAATCCTTCATACCACTGTGGACCCCACCCCACCTCCTGGTATCATCATTAGAACACCAGGGGAAACATGGTGCCTCGCCCCAGAGGTCCCTGCAGGCTAAGATGTGACATAGGCTATGGAGCTGGAACTTTCTGGAATCCAAGATATTGTACCTTCCATGCCTTTTCCCCAGTGTGTCTCCCTCCAACCCCTGTACCCAGCCACAGCTCCTACCATTCCTTCCCGCAGCCTCTCTTCTGGCTCACTGCCCACCAGAACATTCTGTGAATAACCAACTTCTTCTTTCCACAGCTGCATCCTTGCACACGCTCCTCCCTCAATCCT